AAAAATAAAAAAATAAAAATAATAATAAAAAAAAAGTTTGAAATATAAGAAAAAAAATTAATATAACATTAAAAAAATATAAAAAAACACGAATTTTTTTTTAATAATAAAAAAAATAAAAAAAAAAATAAAAAAAAAAATTAAAAAAAATGTAAGAAAAATAATACAGTTTAAAAAAATTAAAAAGCAATTAAAAAATGGAAAAAAATAAAAGATAATAATAAAAAAAATTTGAAATATAAGAAAATATGAAAAAGGCAAAAATATTACCGAAATTAAAGCAAAAGTAGAAAAAATTATAGTTAAAAAAATTTGAAAGAAATATTAAAATTGAATTTAAAAAATTAAATTAAAATAGTTAAAACAGATAAATAAAAAAGTGAGGAAAGTGTAAGATGAGTTAAAAAATATAAATAAATAAGAAAATTTAAAATACATTAAAAAATTGACAAAAAAATAATAAATTAAAAAAATTTAAAAAAAAAATTAAATTAATTAATTGATAAAAAAATTTAAAGATATTAACGAAAAATTAAAATAAAATTAAAAATCGTTAAGCAATTAAGAAAAAATATATTAAGGTAAATTCAATAATAAAATAAAAATAAGAAATTAAATAAAATAATTATAATAAATTAGAAAAGAAGTTAAAAAAATTCAAAAAAAATCTTTTAAGTAAATAACAAAATAAATAAATAAAATTAAATAAAAAAATAAATAAATAAAATAAAATAAAAAAATTAATAAATAAAATAAAATAAAAAATTAATATATAAAATAAAATAAGAAAATAAATAAAATGTTTAAGTATTTAATAATAGCTTGTTAATAAAAGAAAATCGTTTTCAGTTAAGTAACTAGTCTCAATTTATTTGGTTTGCCTCACATTTCACAATAAGCAAAAAATTTGTATAAAAATGGTGATGTATGCTAAGCATATTAGATGCGTAGGTGTCGTCACATTTGTTATTGCTATTTCAAGCCTGAGGCATGTTGCATGTGATTTTATTTTATTCCTAAACTATTCCATTTACACACTAATCTAATTAATTAATTATTCAAATACTAACCGCAAGTGTTTTTTCTTTTGTATTGTATTGTACTGAAGACTACAGTAGAAGATTATTGTACAGGAATTTAGTGCGTAAAAATAGATTTTTACGTGCGTACATATAAATATGTGCATGTATATAGAAATCTTCGTTTGCAAAGATCCGTAAATCTCCAAAAATTACCAAGTGACATGAAATTTCAAATTTTGGCTCCTGGAAAGGACTGCCTAAATCGAAAAAGTTTTTTTTTGGTTCAGCGATGGCTATTTCCTTAGCTTAATAGGAAGACTACTCGTCTAATCAGACAGCGAAACAGAGGCTTACCTATTCAAAAATAAGATATTTATGATTCCATTAACTTCAGGACGCTTTTATGAAGAAACCGTATTAATAATTATTTTTTTGCGGGAAGTAGATATTACGGGAAATTGTATATATATTTATGAGACTTCGAAACAAGTTCGATTTCGTCAAACATATTTCTTATAACCTTCTTTACGAGAAAGGGATCATCGACAGTGCGTAGGTAGAGAGCGTAGGTTGGTTCAACTTTAGCGTGAACAAGCATAGATTTGTTTGGCTTACTTCAAGGCATTCATATTGACCTGTTCCTGAAAGGCAACCACCGATATGCGTGTCTCCCTGCAAACATTTTCAGGCCAGTTACTGGAAAAGAGGACGCATTAATTATCCAAAAACTTTGGTAATTTAGTTACATCAAAACAATTACTCTAATCATGTTTGGCTGAGTAAGCCAGCTACCCTCACGGCTACAATCGAAGATGTCTACGATCTCAACTATACTTTTCCGACCGACCTTAAAAGCGAATCAGCCACCTATAGGTGTACAATCAGCGTTGAAGAAATAGATAAAATACTTAAATATCCAATAGAATTTTTGAACTTCGATTTAGCAGGAAGGGCATCGATCTATTAAGTTATAATATCGGTGGGACTATTATGGAGCTACTTTATTTGAATTAACTGAAACTTGTAACGGCACAAGACTTGCCATCAAAAAATTACAGACGAATGTACTCAATATGTAGAAGCAACAATTCTGAACATACATTTCAAAGGTGAAGGCAACCTCATTCCTTGAGTGCCTATCATTCGTCCCGATACTCCCTTTTTATTCCAGCCATTTGAGTGCCCTGTTCGACCAGCGTTTGCACTCACTCTCAACCATCCTCAGAGTCAATCTTTGGCATTGTCTTGTCCACATGGAGATGCGGATTGCTGCTCATACTATATGTACTCTTTGTCTGTTGTGTATTCTGGGGTTGGATACCGGATAACTTTCTTATTTGCGTGACCGACGGCAAAGCTAAAAACATTGTTTACCCACAAGTATTGAGTAAATAAAATTATGATGAAAAGACATACAATGTTTAATTTTTTTATACATTCAATAAGTATGTGCTCAAACGAAGCATTGTAGGGTACAGCAACTGTATGTTATATGAAAAAAGAACTGCTAAAAATTTCCAAATGCGTTTGAAACTATGGAAATTTACTTAAATACAATTTTCCTCAATAGCAGATTTTTAAAATTCATGGATTTCAAAGCAAAATTATAAATAGAAATAATTTTTTATTTATAAATAAAATTTTAATGTTTAAACAATTTTTATGGATTTTTCTAATACCATTCTATTGTTTTCATCAATGAAAGCCAGAAGCCTAGCATTTAATAAGCAAAAATAGAAACGGATAAAAAGCTTGCGAAATTATACAAAAACAAAAAAATATTTTTTTCTGTTTTTTTTCTGCTTTTAATTTAAAATTTTAATACATTAAAAGTATCTTTGGAAGTACTCAATCAATGTTCGCACACACTTGTATACATGAACTTTTTGTATTGTCTTTTTGTTGTGTCTGTATGTATGTATGTTTGCATGTGCACAACTGTCTGTCCAGAATATGAATTATTTGCTTCATTGAGTGTGAAATAATAAAAAGTGTTGTATTTTTTTTGTCAGTTTGCTGTGTTATTATTAATTTTTTTGTGCTTTCCAGTGATTAATTGACAGTTTTGCCAACCAATTTTGGCAACATAATATGGCTTTTAGGAAGGAAAGTAATATTTCATTTGTTGTATATTCACTTAGTAAAAGTAGTCGTTGTTAACCATCAAATGATTCTACATCTATTTTATTGAAAAAAAAAAAAAATATATGAAAAAAGTTTTTTTTTTCTAAACGTGGTAAAGTACACAAAATCCTGTGTACTCACATAAGTTTGTTTATTTGTTCTGAGCTAATGGTATTTTTTTCAACAAAAAATTTCAAACATCCATACACATACACAAATAATAAAAATTGTCACTTTGTAACCGCTGAAGCGATTTACGGTATACCATACATATATACCGCACTTATTATTTATACTATTCTCTAGATCATTTATACACATTATTCGCAAACGCTTCTGTTTTAATTCAAATTGCATTCACTTCACACCAGTGCAACAAGAGTTGTAAATTTATGGAATCAAAATGATTTTTAAATTTTGTAGATGCAAAAATTTGTATTGCATTTGAATGAAATTCTTCGTCAATTGCAGTCAATTCTTACTTTTGATTTTTCACGAAAAAGACCATGCGATTGGCTATTTATAAAGAAAACAAAAATATTTATTTTAGACCAATGAAATGTCTCTGTTCATCTGGGCGATGCATCAACTGTACACCATAGAGCCAATGATAATATTTATTTATTAAATTTAAAATTTAAAACTAAACAAAATAAGATAAAATAAAATAAAATAAAATAAAATATAATAAAATAAAATAAAACAAATAAAATAAAATAAAATAAATTAAAATAAAATAAAATGAAATAATCTAAAATTCGAAAATTATGTAAAAAATAAAATGTAATTAAAAAATTAAATAAAATAAAATATTAAATAGAAAATAATAAAATAAGATAAACAAAATAAAATAAGGGATAAAAAATGAGGTTAATAATAAATAAATAAAAAAATAAAATGCCTTTAAATAAAATAAAATAAAGTAGGAACAGGACTCAAAGCCTAGGCGCTACAAAGTTGCCTAAGTCTTTATACCTTTTATGCTCATATCAAATTTATGGTATTTGATTTGATGATTCAATGGTAATTATCATATCCGAACGAAGCTCTTGGGTGTGGGCATTGTTAAACAGACGACGGATTTCGTTGTTTTTCTGTGACAATGTTTATTTACTATACTCGTATATATAAAAGATAATGTAGAAAACAAAATTTTATGCATTTTTTCTTGACGGATTTTCATATCTGAACACATTGATGCCGAATGGTGCTAAGCTTCATGCTGTTAGGAACCACAAATCTCAAATTTTAAAAGCACGTCGTGTATATACTACGTGAGCCAATCTGGGTGGTGCCGATAAATAAATTATAATAGGTCATCTATTTACCAAGTGTTGTTGAAATAACTCAAACACTGAGAGACTGGTTTACAAACAGACGGACAAGCCCACTGATGCCTATAGCTGAACCAACTGAACTCGTTATTCCAACCCGACTACAGCTTTTAAATACTTATAGGTCTATAAAAACAGAGGACCCTCTAGTCCTTTTTCATACTTCGGAGCAAAATTAATATTCCTTTTCATGAGTGAGCGTGGGTGAGGTACAAAAAACAATATTAAAAAAATAAAATAAAATAAAATAAAATATAAAATAAAATAAAAGAACAAAACTAAAAATTAATTAACGCAAATTAAACGGAAATCAGTATTCCTCGTTCGCCAAGGCAGACGTCATTCACAGAAGTAAAGTGGCTTGTAAGCAGGCCTAAATTTATATTCATATAAAATCTTGTATTTGTATTTGTAAATTTAATAAATCTATGCGTTAAGCTAAATATAACTGCTTTATACGACAAGAAAATCAATGCAATTAAGCTAATTGGCTTTCAAAATATGTTTGATTTCCTTTCAGAGTTTTACGTCAACCGATGTACGAAATGAAGAAAATATGCGCCTACATTTAGGCGCAACAGCTTGTAAAATAATGTTTTCAATAAAATTGCCTTAGCCAATAAAATACGAACAAAAGTAATTACAAGTTAAATTTAGACACAAATAACTGCTCTACAAACAAACAACCACACATACTACGCATTTTATGAGTTCACCCTTTGAGAGGCGACGAGCAATTGCAGCAAAGCAAAATGTTGATAAAAGAATACCGTATACCCTTACCGTTAACGGTCGAGGAATATCGCATCGCACAGCTGTATATGATAGCGGTGAGTATACCGTTCAGGTGGTACACATATGTAGCGGTGGTGTGTGTTGCAGCTAAAGACCACCGACTGCGCAGTAGCGTTGCTAAACCGCTAACAGTGCATATAAATCACTTTATTTCATTTCATTATAAATACATTTTACGATATATATTTATATATATATATATAACTATTTGTATATATTTTCCCTTTCTTCCTTTTTGTGTGCAGAAAAAAAGTCGCGAAGAAAGTCATGGCGAGGGCAGCGGCGTGGAAATTATCATTAATGAACCCTACAAAGACGGACCCGGCGGGAATGGACAGTACACGAAGAAAATCTATCACGTTGGCAGTCATCTGCCCGGTTGGATAAAAAGTGAGTTAAATGGCAATTAGGTAAACTACTCAATTATGGGTAATGAGCGATGCTGCTAATTACACAAACTCACCCGTTGCACTGTTTGTGCTTTCTTCACTTGCAATTATTTGTATTTATTTGTGTGTCTGTGTTTAATTGGATTTTGAACTTCTCTCTCTCTCTCTCTTTTGCTACGCAGGTTTGTTACCAAAGAGCGCTTTGACGGTGGAGGAGGAGGCGTGGAACGCTTATCCGTACACCCGCACGCGCTACACCTGTCCGTTTGTGGAGAAATTCTCGCTCGATATTGAAACTTATTACTTTCCGGATAATGGCTATCAGGATAATGTTTTCAAGTTGAGTGGCAGTGATTTGAGAAACCGCATTGTGGGTAAGTGCTGATGGCTTAATGGAAAGGCGTGAAGTCTTGATATGTAATATGAGAAAGCTCCACACCAAAAGATACGCCGAGCGAAAACCCATCCCCTAAAACTCTCCTTTGAGTATTTGCATTGTAGCCTTTTACATATTTGTTGTTTTGGTACCGGCGAGCTAACTCTATTTTGAAGGAAGTAAGCTGAGGAAAGGTCACGAAAAGAGCTACTTCGAAAAGATTGTGGCTTGGAGAAAGCAGCATTTTGAGAATAGGCAAAAACGATATGCAAAGCTTGGGAAGCATCCTTTCATGTAGTCTCCTTCTGAATATAGAGCACATACGGAAGACTAACGAGTTCACTACGGCGCGTCGTTTGTCTAAAGCAAAACTTTCGCGTTCTCTTTTATCAGAAGAGATGGACGGACCTACAGTTTATTCGAAGATGCCTCCGAACGGCTGATGGTTTTTTATGAGGAGCCTTTGTTTCATGTCCGAAATACACTCGGAGGGGTGGACAATACCTGCCGAGGGGCGACCACAATTAGAAAATTTAACTTGATTTTTGATTTAAATTAATTTTTTATAAATTTTGGGTGTTGATGGCACCGGGATCTGAACCCGAGCCTTCCGAATGGCAGTACGCAACGCTATGCACTCGGCTACCGCGGCAAGTGGTTAGTTATAAGCTCTTGTGGTTCATTACACTATCGAACCATTTCTCACAGCCGCACTCACGGTATAGCGCACGACGAATTGGTGCACCGGATTACACGTAAATGCCGCATAAGGCAAATTAATCGATTGCTGAGTATCACAGCGTGTCAGTGACGGGTCGTAACACGAAGTCGAGGCTGATAACGGAAAATTAGGTGAAGTTATCCGGAGTGAGTAGTCGCAGAATGGCATCACCTTAGCATGAAGTGCGGGGTTATCTGATTGACGACTGCACCCGAGAGTGAATACCGCGCTGTGAGTAAACTCTCAGATACGGAGCCCGCAGTTGAGGTAGAGAACAAAAAATTATCGAAGATGTGAAGCTATTCAGCGAGCGTGAAGGTTTGACAGAAGGTGTCAGCTCTTGTGAGTAGTGAATTTCACCTTTGGGACAATCCACTAATGACAACGTGACTAGAACCGAAGAGCTTGCATATCTGAAAAGAGGTTCCATGCACAAGTGGCGATGTAGCAGAACATTAAAGAACTACGCCGAACTATTATACGGCCACTGATGCCTTTCATTCCTACACTTTTTAATGACACAGGAGTACATTTTATAGCAAAATCTGCGGTTTATTATTTCCATAAAGATCATAAAAAGAGGACTGTGTAACCGGTTCCATAACCTTGGCAATGCAACGCGCTGTTATCCAAGAGCTACCACGGTAATATATCCACAGCCGTGTAACCGTTGAAATTTTTTATTACTCCATCTGGTGTCACTTTCAAATACGTTGCGGCCTCGGTATGACGGTGAGTGGAGCAATATGAAGGGGTGAGATTACAAACGTACAGAAAAAGAGTTGGAGACTTTAGTGTAACTTAAACATAATTCGCGGCGAAACCCTTGGTAAGGTTCCCGGGTAGAAACCTGCATCTGGTTTGGAGGTGTTAAATCAGACGAGAAATCAGGTTTTTTTTTAGCCAATGCCAATTTTCTTTTCATTTCAAGTTGGAAGGTTTCTCTTTACTTTTTTTCATCTTAAGAAAATACTAATGTCCTCAGGAAAAGGTAAGGTTTCGGGCTCGTCGTTAGGAGAAATGACAGACCTCTTCGTCCACTATCAGCCCTTAGTTTCCGGCCATTTCCTATCTTAACATTGATTCTGAATATGTTAATTGTGTTGTTTATTGAAAGGACGTCGTCTCATCTTTCTTTCATTAAGTTTTTTTTTGTACGACTTGCAAGTTAAATATGGTATTATTCTTCCCTTCCCTCCCCACAGATGTCATTGATATTGTCAAAGATCAACTTTACGGTGGAGATTATGTGAAAGAGGAAGATCCTAAACTCTTTGTATCCGAGAAAACCGGACGTGGTCCGTTGAGCGAAGAATGGCTAGAGGAGTATTGGCGTGAGGTGAAGGGCCGGAAGCAGCCCACCGCGCGAAATATGTCATTAATGTGTGCATATAAGATTTGTCGTGTCGAATTCCGTTATTGGGGTATGCAAACGAAATTGGAGAAATTCATACACGATGTAGCATTACGGAAAACTATGTTGCGTGCACATCGACAGGCCTGGGCGTGGCAAGATGAATGGTATGGACTGACCATTGAGGACATACGCGAGATTGAGCGGCACACACAATTGGCCCTGGCGAAGAAGATGGGCGGTGCTGAGGGTGAGAGCGAAAGTGATGCTGAGGATGGTGAGTATATACATATGTACATATATTATATATATAAATATGAGGCTATGCATATACATATAATTATTCCACATTCAGCTGACAGCGTGGCGGATCTGCATGGTCCCCCCGTTACTGCTAGTACTGGCAGTGAACGCCGTAAGTCTGGCGGCGCACCCCCACCGATTGTTACACAAGAACCGCCAAGTGCTGAAGCCACTTCGGATGAGGATGAAGAAGAGGATGCAGCGCAGGAAGTGAGCGCACGTTCGCGTTCGCAGAGCATACAATTGACCAAATCGAAATTCGGCTCGAAAGGTGCGTTACACTCACCCGTGGGTTCAGCGCATAGCTTCGATTTGCAGGTGTGTTTCAAAAATCTTTGTCTCAATAGAATTTTATTTGTGATTTTTTGCTATTTAATTTTTGCCTTTTGAAGTTGTGCACTGTGATTTCGCTAAGCAATATTAGAATATGCGTAAATGTGATTTACTCTTTACTTTATGGCTTATACTGTGTGCGTGGTACATTGAATATCTTGGAAGTTGCACCACTCAAAGTGCTTGGCATCTAAGTGGAATGGACTGGAAGATTTTTTGAATATTGAAGAGGCCGAGCCGGGGCTTTTATTTAGACGCCTTTGGGTGGGAAGTAAACGAACCTTAGCTCTTAAGCTTTTCTCTATCTGCTGGAGGTTTGGCCAAGACGGCCTATACATGCTGTTCAGTCTACAGATTCTTTCCAGAGGTACTGTTTGGGGATATTATCACCATCTGGATGACTGCCGGTTTACTTCTTTACCGGCTTCCTGCTCTTCCTACACTCCCTTTTACCGACTTTTCTTAACACTCTCTTCTGAGTTCCATTCCTGAGCCAAGAAGCTTTACCGCGAAATGAGTGAAAAACACTTCCAAGATGTTCATGAACCTTTCTTTGTTTAATTTCAAATCTTTCTTACGATTTACTTTTCTCTTATTTATTTTGATTTTTTTATTTAATATTCAATTTCACAAAACCAAAATCTTCTAAAAGCCGCATGCAAAGAATGTTCAACACAAAAATGTAAGTTTGTCTTTGGTTAGTTTGTTTCTTTCAAAATGTTTAAATAAATTAATTGAATTTTAGATTCAAATAGTTTTTGAAAAATATGTTTTTTGTCGATTTTACTGTCAATATTTTCTTACAGGTTGCCAATTGGCGTATGGAACGTCTGGAAGTGGACACCAAATCCAACTCGGATGAAGAATTTTTCGATTGCGTGGGTAAGCAACACCATTTTTTAGTCTTTCATCTTTGGTCTTTACGTTGTGTTTTTCTTGTTTCTAGATACCAATGAGACCAATTCGCTTGCCAAATGGAGTTCGCTTGAATTGCTCGGCGACGGTGATGATAGTCCACCGCCAAGTAGTGGCATTGTTTATAAAGACAGTCAAGAAGACAGTATTTTCAATCAAGACTTCCTAATGCGTGTCGCCTCCGAGCGTGGCAATAAGCGTCAGCTGCGTTCCTCGGCTAGCGTAGATCGCAGTCATGACGCCTCACCGCCAGGTTCACCAGGCACACCATCCTGTTCCACCACCATACTCATACTCGTGGTGCATGCTGGCAGCGTCTTAGGTATGTAAACTAAGATTTGTTTATAGGCATATAAATGTGCTCTACTCAATCGCAACCATTATGACTTATAGACGCCACTAGCGAGCTAACCGCCAAGAAGTCAGACATTACCACATTTCGTGGCGCTTTTGAGGGTGTTATGCGCCAACATTATCCTAGTCTGCTGACACATGTTACAATTAAAATGGTACCTTGCCCATCCATATGCACCGATGCACTCGGCATACTCTCTAGTCTTAGTCCATACTCGTTCGATGCCTCACCATCGGCGGCTGATATACCAAATATTGCTGATGTGCCCATTGGCGCAATACCGTTACTATCGGTAGCATCACCCGAGTTCCAGGATACCGTTAATAAGACAGTGACCGCAGCAAATATTGTATATCATGAATTTCTTAAATCTGAAGAGGGTCACGGTTTCGCCGGTCAAGTGGTAATGCTGGGTGATTCGATGGGTTCGCTGTTGGCCTATGAGGCGCTATGCCGTAGCAATGGTTCAGATGGTGGTGGTGGTGGTAGTCGTTCTTCGCGCACCGATGATGATGAACGCTTCAATGACTCGGACTTGGATGCCAAGCGACTGCTGGTGGCACCGTCACCACGGCGACGACGCTCCTCGTCGAGTGACTCGCGTGGCAATAAATTAGATTTTGAAGTTGGTGACTTCTTTATGTTCGGCTCGCCGCTATCCATTGTGTTGGCGTCGCGCAAGCTGCACGATGCCAAGGCAGGTGAGTAGAGTGTATAGAGTTGAGTTTTTCGAATTGCAATTACTAATAAAGCTTTCAACACTTCCATAGCGCTGGCACGTCCAAACTGCAATCAAGTGTACAATTTATTCCATCCTACCGATCCAATCGCTTCCCGCTTGGAGCCATTGCTCAGCGCTCGGTTTTCCATGTTGGCGCCAGTGAATGTGCCACGCTATGCCAAATATCCGTTGGGCAATGGGCAGCCCTACCACCTACGTGAGTTGAAGGCATCTTTAAAAAATAAAATTGATAATAAAATAATAATTATTCTTGCTACCCTACAGTGGAGGTCATCCAATCACATCCACAGCACTTCAATGACGCCAATAATATTTTGGGCAATAGACGTCTTTCAGATGCCTCAATGCAAAGTACTATTTCTGGTCTCATTGAAAATGTATCGCTAAGTACAATCCACTCACGTAAGTTGCTAGTGAATTTAGAAGAACCCAAAAATTGCTGAACATTAAAAATATATTTAAATGTGAAGATTCTCCTATTTGTAGCCACTACTCCGCAGTTATCTCGGTATTTGTAGTTAACTCTTTAAATAGTTTCTGTATTCATTTCCTAGTCTTATTAATTGAATGAAAGATTTCTCTTCTTCCAGTACAAATGAAATGGTGGGGCACAAAACGTTTAGACTACGCCTTGTATTGCCCAGAGGGTTTGAGCAATTTTCCAGCGCACGCTTTGCCACATCTATTCCATGCCAGCTACTGGGAGAGTGCGGATGTGATTGCGTTCGTTTTGCGGCAGGTGAGTACACTGAGTACACTGCGGCCGTCGATCCTATTAAGCTTAAGGAAAATTGGAGCGAAATTTAGTAAAAATCTATGCACGTAAGAGCTGGTAGGGGTCAAATTTGATTCACTAGTGCTAAAAGCATCCAAGTGCACCTTATTCCACATTATGAAATCTAGTGCAAAAACTATTCATGAACTCCACGTCGTGCGGTAGACAGTGGGAGCTTATAGAGTCATACCAATCCAAAACACAAAAGCCAACCTTCAAATGACTTTCATCTAATAATGCATCAGTATCTGCAGCTTTTATTGACCTTAATTCGAATATTTGCTTATGAAGAGGCGAAGTGAGCTTCATAAAAGGGAAAATGTAGAAGCCAACAGAGTGGTATTTTCAAGATCTAGAATTCAATCTACGGCCATAAGTCTTCAAAATTTCAAATGAGGATGAACCTACAGTCTTATTTAAGACGCCTCTGAACGGTCAAAAGATTGTTTAATAAGAAGATGTACGGCGACTTAAGAAACAGCGGTCCAAAGAGGAAGACCCTTGCTTCCTTAAAAAAATATGTGGCTTTATTTTTTGTCTCCAGTGGACATCAAATAGCAAATGGATTGCCGTTGTTTATTTGATTGTACTGCAGCAGCAGGGTTTACTCCAATTAAAAGGTTGAAGAGAGACACGAAAGTGTGTAGCTTTTCTTCAACGAGCCTTTATTGGGCTGCGTACCAACTTATGGCTGCTCAGAGCGAGAGATCACAGATCTTAAGGTGATGTCGTCAATTTAAGTTAATCTGAAGCAATCCGACGTCTATGTGAGAGGCATATACAGACAAAAAAGGGAGAATAAGAAGACTTTGAGGCGCTGACCGAAAAGATGCTGCTACTTACAGAAGGGTTCAAAATCGCAGCATATTCATGTAGAGTCTAAAGAGTTGTTGAGTTAAAGAGAGTAGCGGCTGATGCTTAAAGCATATTGATTTTATGAAGGATACCTTCTAAATAGCAGCCGAAGAGATACCGAACCAATTCCTCAATCAATTACAATGGAACAAACGTTCCTTTGTCGAACTATGAAGAAATTCGCCTGAAGGGCTGATGAATTTCCGGTCGAGCTATTCAAATATGAGCTTATTTACAGAGGATGGCCGGTGAGAATCATGCTCGACGATTGAAACCTTAACATGTTTTTGTTAACTACCATACGATAAGCTTACTAAATGAGGCACATCAGCAGCTTTCGACGGAACGAAGAGTAGTTGCCGTAGCGGCTGTATCAATGGGGAATTTATATGGCTGACGTCGAGCACCACTAAAAGATTACCTAAAATCGGGAGGAATCTCCCCAAGCTCTTTTTCTGCGAACAAAGACTAAATTCTACAAGTCTCTCACCATACCCATTCTGTTATGTATCACAGCACAGAGGCCTAGTCAGAGACAACATCTATGGGAGTTCTGGAGAGAAAGTGAATTAAGTTCGGTCATGGCTAGGTTATGTCGTCCGGTTTTGAATTTATTTGATGAAGCACCCGCCAGAGAAAGCAGAAGAAAACGAAGACGTTCATTCCGTTAGCGCCGAACGGCTAAGAAATGAAACACGTAAGCGATGTCTACACCTAAAGAGAAGAAGAAGAAGAAGATTCCTTTTCTGAGTCTGAAATCGTCTAATATAAAGAGAATTAAAAAACTTGGTTTGCAAACAAGCTCCTAATATATTTCACCCTGTAACTAATTCTTTTATGAACAACAATGAAAAACCTGACCCGAGTGACTCCAGAATTTACTTTATCATCACTCACTCTCACCTTTGCTTTACTTCATATCTTTTAAACCGCCTTTCTTTCCTTTCAGATTGGTAAATTTGATGGTATTCCATTTGTTGGTTCCGGCGATGACAAAGAAACCGTCACCTTCCATCCGAGTCAGCCACGCGAGAAATGGATGAAGAAACGTACTTCCGTTAAACTGAAAAATGTCGCCGCCAATCATCGAGCCAATGATGTAATTGTGCTGGAGGGTCGTGAACAACGTCTCAATGCACGTTTCATGTACGGCCCATTGGATATGATTACTTTGCATGGCGAAAAAGTCGATATACACTTAATGAAGGATCCACCAGCTGGTGAATGGACATTCCTTGCCACCGAATTGACCGATAAAAATGGTCGCATTTCATATACCATACCCGAGCAAGTTGGGTTGGGTTATGGTATTTATCCTGTAAAAATGATTGTACGCGGTGATCACACATCTGTGGACTGCTACTTAGCTATTGTGCCACCAATGACCGAATGTGTGGTCTTCAGTATTGATGGTTCCTTTACCGCGTCCATGTCGGTGACGGGGCGTGATCCAAAAGTGCGTGCCGGCGCTGTTGATATCTGTCGCCATTGGCAGGAGTTGGGTTATTTACTGATATACATCACTGGTCGGCCGGATATGCAACAACAGCGTGTGGTATCCTGGCTGAGTCAACACAATTTTCCACATGGACTCATCTCATTCGCCGACGGCTTACTCACCGATCCTTTGGGTCACAAAACTGCTTACTTGAATAATTTAGTGCAAAATCATGGAATCTCAATTGTCTCGGCTTATGGCAGCAGTAAAGATATTACGGTGTATGCGAATGTAGGCTTAAGACCCGAACAGATATTTATTGTTGGCAAAGTAAGTAGCGAAGTGGGGTGAACTTTTAAATAGTCTCTACGTCTCTTTCATATTTCTAGGTGAGCAAAAAATTACAATCCAATGCTACAGTGCTGAGTGACGGCTATGCTGCTCATTTGGCTGGTCTGCAGGTAGTAGGCGGCTCACGGCCCGCCAAGGGAAATGCACGCATGGTCATACCACGTGGCTGCTTCAATTTGCCTGGTCAAGCCTCGAATCCACGTCGCAGAAGGTATGTGCATGTGACTGTGTAGTTGAGTGTGTGCGTGTGTGTTAAATGTCATGTGATCACAGTGTATACATGTATTTATTAGTGATAATTAGTTGTAAATATGTATATTTATGTATAAACACATTGGCATAATTGATTAGTGGATTTTTGATTAGCAATAATTTTTAACACATTTTCACTATTTCCATCTCAGCTTGGTCGCATTGAACACATTGGCTTTGGCTTACGCGGTTATAGCCAAATCAAAAACAGCGCTCCACTCGTTCCTTCTCCTTGCTTTTTGACTGCAGTCGAAGACACCAAGTGAAACTAGGTCCACTTCCACCTGATCCTTCCAACGCGGTGGAGGGGTCTCCACTTCTTCTTTTTCTTCCAGCGGGTATTGCAACGAATACTTTCAAAGCTTGCTTGCAACCATTCGGACGAAAGGACGTAGCCGCTGCCTCTTCATTCTCTGAGCTCTATTATTGTAGCCCTATAATCGTACATCTAATCTCTGCATCGTCTGCCCTATTCGCCGCTGTTAATGAGCAAAGAACCTTATATATGTTTATGGCTTTTCTCTGGAATGATTTAATATGTTTGTCCGAAAATGCCATACAATATTTTACAAAAAACCTGATTCATGAACCTTTTTAGTTCTTCGCCGCCATATTTGAATAGCTCATAGCCGCTGAGCTAGCGTAGAGCAATCGCTATTTGAACATCATCGTAGTTTGGTATTGGAACGTCTTTTCTATACTCTTTTGTCGGCGACCTAGGTTTATCATTTCATACGCTTCTTTTCATAGAATTTTCGAACACTAGCTCCGTCGTTCAGCTTCTCTAGTTCCACCTACTCACGTATTTCGGCATTTTTCTCTTACTACTGTCCATATGCTTCATCGTACCAGCTGTTTGTTTTTTAGATAGTCAAAAACTAATCGTTTCTGCAGTAACGGTACACAGGAAGCATCAGCTACGATCCTACAGTTCCTTTATACCGAATTGTTGATTTTCGCAGGATAGCAAGTCGAGTTGAAAACGCGCTTTACTGTCTTTGGTGATTGCAAGCTTTCGACATCAAATCTTTAATTTTTTTGCTGACGGACATTTTTTGCTGCACGGAGGAAGGTGTGTTCTGGCTACTACAATATAGTGGTTCGAGTCGATTGCCATATTTCGAGCATTGCATGCATGCCTTCCATATAACACAACTACGTTGATTTTGTGACGAGCTCCTCGATACGGCGATAGCCATGTAGCCTGAGCAATTCCCTTATGTTTGAGTCAGATACTGCATACAATTATATTGGGACCACTCTTTTCGAACGGGGATGTTTCATCATGGATTTAAAATATTCCATTTGTTACGGCAAAGATACCTTCCTTCTCCAACTTGGCGTTATAATCGCAAAGAATACGGAATCGTAGCGTCGGTAGCGCTCATTAGTATGTTCCAAGCGCCCATAAAAGCCATCCTTGCTTACATCATTTTTCTCTTCAGTCAGTGGGTACACGCAAATCGCCGATTTATTGAAAAATCTTACTTAGATGCGGATTATGACAAGTCGTTCATCCACTGGTGAGAACGATAGTACACGTACACGCAATTCTCTCAACTACACTCCCTCAATGGCCGCTTTAGTGCATGTCACAAGGATCTACTCGTATCTCTCTTTATTCTATCCATCACGTCTCTAGGACAACAGTGATTATATCGGGGACATCAAGCAGTTGGACCTTCGTAATTAAGTCACTGGGCGCACCAGGCTCTCAAACCCAGCGAAACGCTACACTGCGTGAAGTATTAAAAATTCGAAGCACATTTATATAGCGAGCCGGTTGCTTTCCAACCGACGCCCGCTGGCAGCCACACCTCAAGCGAAGCTGCAGTGTCGTTTCAAATTTCATCATTGAAATTTAAATGTTTCTCATACGCCCCGGCGACCATATGCAATATCAAAGCCATTGGCTTTGTGACCAAGCGGGGCACTAATCATATCACATTGTTAGATTTTTTCATGAACAATAGCACATGTATTCAACTAAATGTATGTGTATATGTATAAGTACACTTGTATGTATGTCAGTAAGTACATAGTATTTTTTGTTACTTCGTTGAATTGAGTTTTTTTTTTTTTTTTTTCAATTCAATTTTTGTTTTATATTTTGTATGTATATATGTTAATTTTTTTTGTGTTGCATAAATAAAAAAACAGTTCTTTGTGTTTTCGTTTGTATTTTGAAATGAATTTTGAGAAAAATTTAATATTGATTTTTTTTAATCATAATTTCGTTTTAATAATTTCATTTATTTAAACAGCAACGTATATGATCAAAGCGCAGATGAATGATACTAATACATATGAACGTTAAAATACTAATATACATATACATACATAGATGAGAGATACTGAATATATTCTTTACATATGTTTTATGTACATATATATACACAACATTTTATGCCAAAAAAGTAACTAACCAAGCGAATTGCAAGCAAAATTCTTTAGAATTAAAACTTACTGTGTTAATTCAAAAATATAAATAATTATGAATAAAAATAAATACATAAAAAAATTTAATGACAAAAATAAAAAATTTAGTAATTATTATTATAATTATAGTTATAAATGTGTATTATAACCAAAAATTGATATATTATTATTTATATATAAATGAATGTAGCTTAATATTTATTTGTTTATATATCGTATGTATGTATGTAATTACTAATAACTAACCAATGCAATTACTCAATAGAATATAAATTTATCACATGTTTCTTTTCATATTGTTTCTCTTTGCATTTCATTTTCGTTTTTTCCCCAATTATTTTTGTTCACTTTATTACAAAAAAAAAAAAAATTGGACACTGCCACATATTTTTCTTAATGCAAATTAAAAAATAATGAAATAAAAATAAAAAAAATAAAAAAATGCAAATTAAACAATAAACGAAAAATAAAAAATGCAAAATTAATAATAAACAAAAAATAATATTAAAATAAAAAATAAAATGAAAACCAAAAAAAAATTAAAATATAAAAAAAAATTTAAAAATATAAATAAAAATAAAAAACTTAAAAATAACAATTGTTAAAAAAAATTTTAAATTCAAAAAAATAAAAAAATAAATAAAAAAATCTTAAAAAAAAATTAAAAAAAAATTAATAAATAAATAAATAAACTAATTAATAAAAATTGTAATACACAAATATCACATTCACCACAAAAAAAAAAAAACATTTATAATTTCCAATAAAAAATTTCATTTAAAAAAAAATTATGAAAATAAATTTTAATTTCACTTGCCGCACACAACACTCTCGTTTACCATTACCACCACATCACAACGTTACATTGCCACTAATGCGCCACTCCAATCACTTCCATCACCTTAAACACCACCTTCACCTCCACCAAACGCCTTTCGTTTTGTGTCTGCTGTTTGTTTTTTGTGTACAATATTTAGGCTGCATGAGCAACCGGATGCTTTAATGTAAACTGCGTATGTTACACCTTAATCATGTATTCACCAACAACAACAACAACAACAAAAACAACAAACAATACGAAATGGACTTTTCGAATGCTTAAATCAAAAATAAATACAATCAAAGCAACAACAACAAAGCAAACAAAATAAATCAAAGCAAATAAAGTAAGAAGAAATGGTAAATGTTGTTAGCACGCATGCTTTTAAAGGTGATGATTATTTTAATTTATTAAATATATTCAAAATAAAAAAATTTATAAATGTTTTAAAAAATTAAAAATAATAAAATAAAATAAAATAAAAATTTAGTAAAATAAATAAGCAACAGGTTTAATGAAAAATTGCCTTAAATGTTGATTAGAAATTCCAATAACCAAAACTTGATACAATACGTTACATACATACATCATTAAACTAAATATGTCGTGGTAAAAAGAAAATCATTATTTTTGCATGCAAAATACGATAGCAGAGCATCTTTCATACAGCTCAAAATCTCTTAGCCAAATTGGGAGAGTAGGCCTATGGCATTATGTCATAGAAAAACAATAGAGAAAAGCTTTCCAAGAGGTCGGACCATATAAAACTTATGATATTTTACTTTAGGATTAATTATTATTCTCACAGCTGATGATTTTTGTCCAAAAGATATGACATTGTCCTTCGATTTCGAATGCCAATTTTTTTTATGTTCATAGATGCTTTTTTGGACCAATTTGTGACCGAAAACCTCAAATTTGAAAACAAAAATAGTACATCGATTCAGATAAATGATCGTTTAAATATGCCATTTCATCTGTATACCAATTTGGTTGAAATATCTTAAAAACTCAGGATTTAGTTTGCGTACAAACTGACGCACAGACAAACATGCCTAAAGCAACTCAACTCGTCATGCTGATCCGAACGCCAAAAACTTTGATGTGTCTAACTTTTCTCCTTCTGGTACTTTGATTAAGACGATTTCATTAAGAAGATTATTCGCTAAGAAATTTTATTGATATAATCAAACCATACACGTACTTTCATCTTTCGCCATTGTCATCCTTCGTAATAGCTCTCCCTCGGAACTTATAGCGCCGACGCATCGAATTCGATATCGTCCAGCCTTCTGTATAATATAAATGCCGTGCCATACAGAAGGACGGAAATTATTATTTTTGTTGCGGTGTTAAGTAGAGAGCTCGAAATCCCGTTCCTCAGCTCCCTTATATCGAGTTGTTGTTAAGTGCTCTCAGAGATTAGAAGTCCAAATCAAGTAGAAAGGCATGTGTTTACTGACGAGCTCTCTTTTCTGCGCAAAGGCGTGAATGTACGTGAATCTAGAGAACTGGTTTATATTGTAGAATGATAAATTTTCTTGTACCGCAATATGATGATACAGACAATCATATTGTGAACGAGAGTTAAGCTGATCTGCCACAACCCATTTGTGTTTTAGATAACTTTTTTTTCTCATCTTGGCGTTAAAATCGTTAAACAAAATATCCTTGATCACATCGCATCTCATCTTTATTAGTGCATCGACGAGACTCAGGGTGAAGCTGAAGAGTTTTCATTTGATGCGGACTAAGAAGAGGTGTACATCCAAAGCTGGGCTTCTTTATATGTTAGCGGTGGTAGTTTGCAAAAGTACCACTCTTTCTCCGACCTTGTCCTTCACCAAGAGGTGTTTGGTCGAAAATTTGGTGGTGAGCCGCCTGTAACTGCTAAATACAATATATTCAGACTAAGTCGCCCCGACCAGTTCTGCTTTTCCAATTTTTTTGGTTCCTTTATAGGTTGTCGGGAAATTTAAGCGCACCTTGTAAGAAGCATTCTCATTTGGTCAGAATCTTTAATTCGATTATTGGTGAATAAATATGCTGCTGAGAGACCAGAACTTTCTTCGATTTATACATGACACTAAAATCTATACGCAAGGGCAGAGTTCGTGCAACATGTAGGAGAAAAAATGAAATCAGGTAGTCATTAGGCCTTAACTTCGCTTCAGAAATTGCTGCCAGGGTCTCAGGTTCCAGATATGAAGTCAACTTTTTCTTCTCTTGCTTTTCGCTGTTTGGCGCCAATTGGAAATACCAAGCTCAGTGAGGTCTTTCTGCATCATTTGTCCAACGTGTGAAATCTTCTTCGTATTGACCTAGACAGCATAAAAAGTTTAAAAGTCCATATCGCCGTACATCACGTTGTTTCATCGACACAAACAATTTCTAACCAAAACTTCAGTGGTTCCAAGGTAAATGATATCATTTAAGGCGATAAAGTTATGTTTGTCAACAGTCACGAAGGAGCCGAGACGCGAATGTGATGACGTTTTGTTTGATGACCGGAGATATGTCGTCTAGCCCATTACCCGACAAAAAGGCTTCACTTTCGTATGCAGACCGGAGAAAGTGAAGTTAACGACACCAGCTGCTGTACATCTTTATAGAATATTCTACCTTCTCTAATAAGCTCTGCAGCTCGTTTTATTTTCCCCAGCAATAGACTGACGAAGTCACGAAAAGGAGTTACCTTGTCTGAAACCTCGTTTGGTATCGAACGGCTCGGAGAGGTCCCTCCTGAGCCTGATTGAGCTGGTGTTACTAAACGTCACTTTACATAGGTGCGCGGGTACTGAATTCAAACTTGGCGGTGTAGAGGCAGTTTTAAAATTTAAGCTAAATTAAAAATATGCAGATATCCAGGGTCTAGGTTTACAAATTCGTCAAAAATGTACACAGTTGCAGCAAAAACTCGATTTTTCCAAGAAAATTACTTGAAATTATTAACTTTCCAGCAAATATGGCGAACGAAAATAATGATTTTCTTTCACAACAACAAAAAAAATTAAAAAACTCAAATTAACTAAATTTAATAATCACACATCCATTGGTGACTTACATACTCGTATACCCACTAATTGGCTCATACTCGCACACATACTCCTCTTCATATACGTACACACCATTAGCGCTGATTCTTAATGTCATTAATGCTTTTGTATTCGTTTCAACTGAAGAAAAAAAATATTTTCTTTTTATATGCTACCTACCTATTTACTCATCACTCTGCATACTATGCATAAATCAAATGTGTATGTATGTAACTGCTCGCCTGCATTCATCATTACTTCAAAAACATCGCTTTTATGCCCTTCTCTATCTACAACAACAACAATCAAAATACAAAAAAAAAACAAAAAAAAAATCAAATGAACATGAAAATGAATAAATAACAATAACAACAAAATAACAGCAACGAAACAGGACTATCATCGCCCATACGCAGTGGTTACCTGAAACGCAAAACCTATCTGAATCTTCACTAGGGGAATGAGTTTGGTTAGCGAAGCAGAAGAAATGAACCAGCTGATAAACTGGTAATGAAATTGAATTTAATATCGCAGTACGTCCAACATGGCTGGGAGCTTTGCCTTTAGTGCATGCGAAAAAAGAGCCGGACTCAACGCGTTCGTTCAACTTCATCATCGACGCCTCTTCTTCTTCTTCTTCATCTACTTTTCCGCCCGTTTGCAAGCCACATTGTTTAATCGCAACGCTTTAGCGGCATTTAGCTTAGACATACATACATACATACATAATAAGGCCTATAACTGCAACAAATACATACTTACTATATAAGTATATACTCGTAGCGAAGAAAGCGCTTAGAGAAGCGTAAACAAACAGTCCTAGTTGGCGTTCAAGTTTAGTGATTATTTAGTACCAAAGGATATGCTGAAAACAAAACAGAAAAAAAGAACAACTATTACTCTTACTCATAGCTAAATCTACTACATAAATACATACATACATATGTATCTACAACTATATTTACGAGTGTCCAACAAAAGAACAAAAGAAAAATTTTACTTAGTATGCAGAAGAAGCTTAGAATTAAATAGTGCGATGAGCCGGAATGGGTTACAGTATTGTACACTAATCCACCAGCCACTCATTTGCGTCTAGTTACCTACTACTTACTTAGTGCTGCATTGCAACTAGAGCTAAAGGAATATTAAACGAATGCAAATTAAAAATGAAAATAGAAATATTTTACGTAAAATCACGCCTAATGTGTCACGTGGTAAGTAGCGCTTAGCTTAAGTTATTTACTAAATATATGTATATATAAATATATATATATTGTTTAAATTTCAAAGTATTTTTCTATACAGAAGACAACCGTTTAGCGCAAACGTAAGTAATATTCCATAAGCGTAGGTGAGAAATTCCGCTTAGGTTTAGTGTAGCTGATAGAAGATCAAAAAATCCAAAGAGCGATCAAATCCTTTCCTGTTTTATCCATAAAAAAAAATTCTCTAACACGAAATGATGGTTTCTGTTGAACTCGGTTCAAAAAGCACGCGTAACTCGCATAAAACTTTGTTTAAAATAGGTAAGCGTCTTTGTGCGTTGCCTAGAGATGAAGTTACAATATTAAAATATAATTTTTGCTACCGTTAGTCGACAGACCGTCTGGGTAAGTGAGTGAGTGAGAGAGCAAAGTTAATTCTTGAAAGAATATAATTGGCGCTTTGTAACCGCTGAAGCGATTTTTTGGCCGAGTTCGTCCTCCAATTTGTGGCTTAGCCTCTCGAAGTTTTTCCAACAAATGAAGGGACCTACAATTTATAGTAAGTCGCCCCCGTACGCCTGAGGGTTTTTATACGAGTAGTTTTAGATATTCATATCCGAAATACACTCGGAGGGGGGACATTCCCTGCCAAAAGGCGGCCGCAATTAGAAAATTTAACATAATTTTTTTTTTTTTTAATTAATTTTCAATCACTTTTTAGCTGTTGGTGTCACGGCTATATGAACACGAATGTCAGTACGCCATGCTACCCCCTCGGCTACCGCGACCATGGGAGATTAGATATACCTAAATCATATCGTCTCGTAAATTTTGATTTATGCCGCCGTTAAAGTCGGAAGATATATTTCATACTGCCCTCGTTTACTACTTGAATGGCCTTCGCTCTTTTTTATCAAGCTTGGAGTAAGCAGAATTAACGGCGTGGTTGCTAAGGCATATGATATCAATGTCATACGCCAGCAGTAGTACACACTTATAGAAGATTGTACCTGATCCATTTAAACCTGTTCGGCTCTTATTTTTTTTCTGCAGCAGAGCCGCCTGTCTGTTTCCTCGTTTGATATCTAACAGCTCCGAGGGGTCATTCGTGTTCCTAATTGGAGTTGATCAAATTCAGTTCACGTAGCCGTAAAAGTTTTACAGGTTTACCAAACTCAGAGTTAGCGGCATAAAGGAAGCTCACTTTCGCCCAGTCGAAAGCTGCTTTAAAATCGACGTTGAGGTCTTTTCTATCAATCTTCCTCTCACGGGTCTTTTTCCTAAATTTTGTACGAGTATTTACCAGGTGTAAAGCCACAGTGATGAAGACCAATCAGTTTGCTGAGAGTAGATTTTAGTCTCATACACAATATGCTCGATAAGTCCTTATATCCGCTATTTAGGAGGCCAATCCCTCTTTTAATGGATTGAGCACAACTAGATTCCATTCATCAGTCATGCTTCCGTTAGACTACACTCCGGAAAGCACCTGATACGTGCATCTCATGTCAGCTCATCGCCGCTGTATTTGAATAGCTCAGTCGGCAATCCATCTGTCCCCATCGCTTTGCTATTTTTCACAATCGCCCGATGAAATATCTATTCTAGCGCCATCGATTGGGGCATCGGGTTCGACGTGATAATCCATTTTCACCGTCATTCAGCAGACTGGCGAAATTTTTCTGCCATAAAATCAGTCTTTTCTTGGTTCTACAGGAGTTTGCTCCGGTCTGAAAATATTCCATTAGTCGCCATACCTTTGCGTAGAATTTTTGAGCATTATCCTTGTCGGCCAGCTCCCAAGCTTCTCAAACTCTTCAAACTCACGCATTTCTATCTCTCTCTCTCTTTTCTGTCTGTAAGGGCACCTTATTGCCTTTTTAAATCGCCTCGGTATTAATTTTACAACGCAACTGTTGTGGTCGATCTCTTCACTGCGGCACGGCTATCCCTATTGTACCAGCTGTTTTTGCGAACTTTCCGAACGTCAATAGTTCCGTTTGCCCCTGTTCATTGGGAGCTGGTGATTCCGTCCTACAGTAATGGCTAGGAATGAGTGCTTTAAGTGAGCATGAGTGCATGCCGAGTAGAAAACCGTTCGGCTGTCTGTTGAGATTGCAGCTTTTTGGCCTCGACGCTTTATGGTTTTTGTTCATGGGTGTTCTGTGTTGCTCAGAGGCGAGTACTCTAGTTGATGATGGGTCTTCGGAGCAACAGTTAACCTACCCAGCTTTGAAACTAATATTCCATGCCACTCGTACTTAGCTTTCTTTGCTTGATTTCAACTTTTTGCCTTCAGGAAGGTGTCGAAATTTCGGTTATATCTTGTGATATAGTATCAGGACATAAAAATGTATCATAGATAAACCAGAAAATTGTAACTCTTAGACCATAGAATAGCATAAAAAAGTATCAGTTTATGGATGAATATAAATTAAAAAAATATTTCCTCGCCTTATATTTACGCACTTAATTTCAACTATTTGATTTTATTTCTACCAACACAAATATATGTACATATATACAACAACTAAATTATTTTATTTCAGAAAATGCATTGAAAGACTACTTTGTATTTGCATCTTATAGGTACCTGGCTAGAAAGACTGTTTCCTCCTGTTGTATGATGGTGTTTCAATCTACCTAAATATTAAATGTGTGTGTTAAATGTGGTTGGACAAAACGAAAAAAAAAAATTGAAATTTAAAAAAAAAATGTGTACATTTTGTCAGAAAGTATTTTTGAGAACATGAAATTATGAATTTTAATGTAAAGTTAAAGAGAAATAAAATAAATAAATAAAATTATTAATGCAAAAAGCAGAGAAAAAAATATTTACACAAGATGTACATGTATGTATTAAAAATTAAATATGTAGTAAATTAAAAAAAAACACTCACACATGCATACATACTTGTACTTGTAATATACATGCATACACTCAAAACATATGACAAAGAACAAAGTTCAAATTGTAATTAATAAAGTTTACAACAAACAAAAAAAAATTATAATAATAATTATAAAAAATATAAAAACCAAAAAAAAAAACAAAAGGGATAATTCAAGCAAATTAAAATAAAAAATAAAAACCAGAGTCTCTCAAATTAAGTGCGTAAAAAAAATTTAAATTTTATTCAAAATTTCAGAAACAAAAAAAATACATATTAAAACTATACAACTGTGAAACAAACTACGCTATAAAATATCTTTAATGAATCAAATTTTCAAAAGCATAAACAATCTAAAAGCGATCTAAACGCTAAACTCTATACTTTGTTGCAAAGAAGGAAAATTTTCAATAAAAAAAGCATAAAGAACAAATAAAATATTTTCATTGAAAATCGCTTAAAATGTATTTGAAAACTTCCATTTATGAAAAAAAAAACTAACAGCTCACATACATATATTTTAACAAAAACAAAAAATATTATATAAATATAGATCTAATGAAAACAGGCTGTTTTGCTAAATTTGTATATGTAAATGGCGCTTTTCAAGAAAACTTATTGAGTAAAAAAATAAATAAATGCAAGTTACATTTTTCAAAACCAACAAGCATGCAAAACTATTTCAATTAAAATTTACAAAAAAAAAAAACACAAGAAATTATTATTGAGAAAAACACATATATACATATATATATATACTAATTACTATTAGATCTCTCTTTCAACGTGATAGGGTTCAAAAAGCATTTTGCATTTACATTACATGTGTATGTTAAAAACAAAAGATAATGAAATATTAAAAAAAAATTTCAAATAATATTGGCGATAAATGTGTTGTACTGTTGTAGCGTTTTAAAATTAAGTGTTAGCCATTGAACAAAAAAGTTAAAAGCAACTAAATCATTCTTACACGTTTTAGCAAATAATTTTTCTTTTCATATTTTTGTCTATTTTTTTGTTTGTTTTGTTTTTTATTATAAAATTGTTATGATATTAGTTCTCAGGTAAATTATTAAGCTGCCTAAATGTAGACTATATACAATGCAAGAGAACAAAAATGTTGAACTCAACTACTTACATATAAACTATATGATTACATAGTTACCGTTATATAGCAGGTTTATAACGTAAAATGAAAAATGGTCAAATTCTTTTGACACTCACACGATTACAAATAATTTGTCTCCAGTTATTTTCCACATCAATCACTCACATGAGTAGTCTATGAAAAGTATGGTTTGTCGTGAGTGAATGTGAACGTGTTGAGTGTGTCACCCGCACAGTCTATGGCATATAATATTAGGTCAAATATTCAAAGTTATCGTTTATTTTTGCCTTAAATTGAATACTAGAATCATACGTTTTTTGTCAAATATGCACCTTTTTGTTTTAAAATTTGAGCCATTTTGAAGGTAATGCCATTATGCCTCTTGCTGCATAGAAACCTCTGTTCCCGGCAAAATCTGTTTTCACAGGCTTCCCTTGAGGCCCATTCTTCGTTAGCCCTAAACTGGCGCAGATTGCAAGCACTTGGTATGAGGTTCGGACTTTAAGGTGGATGCATAAATGTCTGGCGAGCCACTATCAATGTGTGACTCCAAACCATTTTTGATTAGATTTCTGTTCAAGTGACTATATACTTTTATAGCAGCAGCACTGTAGTAAAAAGCTATAACCAGTTGCTTTTTTCATTTTTATTCGCAGTTCATTTTGACATTTTTTTTATCGAAATTACTCATATGAAACATAAAATAGCGAAATATTCCAATCAGCCGCTTGTTTGCCCTATACTGTTACGAATGAATCGTAAGTGTGACGAAAGCAAAGCGACAGCTGATTTTATAACGGTGAATAATATTACGTCTGTAGGCGCAATCTTAGTGCGCTCTTTCATTTTTTCATGTGAATAGTGGGAGCATAGTTTTAGGCGCAGTATTTCTCATTAAAATGAAGTAGATAATTTTTTGAAGATTTTTATAGTTTAATTAATAAATGCATTACGGAAATTTGCTTATTATTTTATTTGACGAAACAGCTAAGCTAGTTTATATTTAATATTTTATGCGTGTTTTGACAAATTATTTCTAGTTTTCGTGCGCATAGAACACATTGAAAAATTTTTGAACAAAAATTCATTAATTAATAAAAATTCTTTTAATGTATTTTGTTAATATCATTTTTCATATTTTGTAGCGAAAATATTATATTTTGTTATAATTTATATCAATAGTATAATTTAATAATTAATTATGGAAAAAACCTAATTTAATATAAAAGGAAATGAAATTTCTTTAAACTCAACCTTAGGTGCATTGAATGATTATTCAAGCATTTAAAAAAATTAGAATAAAACATCAAAAAGCAAAAAACGGAAAAATAACAAGTTCCAACAACTATAACTAGTTTAGTTAAGGTGGACTTGGTTGCTTATTTGATATTATGAATTCTTTTCTATTCACTTGAGCTTCTTAATGAATTTGAATATGTTGATAAATTAGTTTTTGTCGCATGGCGAAACTATTAATGAAAACTACGCCCTTATGTCGAGGTCTACAGCAGCTTAGGGTAGGCAGATAGCCATCGTCGTTTCTGTAACTCTGACAAATGCAGCTAATCTTTTTCTGCATCGTTTTATTAGGCAATAACCCGTAAAAATTAAATAAACTTTCCTGAGAGTGTAAGTCATACAGCCTCTCCCGGCACCATTTCAGCCAGATTGCCTCTACTCGTTGTTTGTAAATGAATTTCTAAAATATTAGCTTGCAAATAATAAGAGATTTATATGTCTCTCTATCCTGCTTGATCGCTTACTGTGACCTGGTGCCATCTTCTAAATGGATCTTCAACAGTCTGGCATGATTTTAAAGTTTTTTATACTAACTGAGCGAAAAATGAAGAATGAACATTATTTTTTTTTTGTATTCGGCTGTAAGGTGTTTTCCATCAACCTTCCTGCGTAAGGCAGATTTTGACATAAAACAAGCTCGAGTACTCTGGCAGTATGAGAATTTTAGGATTTGCCCGAGAAAACACTTCCACCCTCGCGCAAAGAGAAGTTTCCAGAAACGCAAAGAATTGTGCTGCTTGATGGGAAAAAAGTATGTCCCTTTAAGAATTTTGAGTCTGTTTAAAATCATCTCTGCTATCCTAAGGACTTCGTGCCAACCCTGAGCGAATGTATGGAATATCTTTGAGGGTATACAAATGTGTCCGGTCTAATAATTGCGTTACATCATAATGAAAATTTATTATTGACATTGAAAAAAATATCCCGTAAATTGCAGGGAAAATAAAAAATAAAAAACACATAAGAAAGGCTCAGAACTACGGATACCTGACTTGGAGGTTTTTTTTTATTTCAATGTCCCTACAGTAATAATATTAATTTCTCGTACTAACTTAATTGCAAATGTAAATTGAATATTATAAATAGCCAAAACAAAAACGAAAACAAATTGCAAAAAAGCAGAGCAAAATTGATAATATAAAAATCCAAACTCAGAAAACCATAAATAGAAAAGGAGAATAGTTTGTTTAAGAAGAGCTGTTAAATATTTACACAAATTATTATACCTGCGAATATTTACAAGCAAATTATTTGCATAAACTGTACAATACAAAAATACATACAAACGTAGGTGAGAAAATTATGCATATTAACAAGCCTACAAACATACAGACATACATATATTTTCGTGAAAATATACTCATTGCAAAAAAAATTGAAAAATGAATATTATTTTGGAATAAGCAGAACTGCATACATACATATATCCATATAAATATAATATTTACAGAGAAACGGCGGTAAAGGTTAGAATGAAGAAATAGAGAATGAAAAAATGTACAATATATTAGTAATATAAAACAATATGTTTTAAAGTAAAATAAAATAAAATAAATTTAAATTAAATAAAAAAACGGAAATAAACTTTAAAAAAATTAAATAATTAATTGCATTGCAGAATAAATAAATAAAAACCTAATAAAGTACATAAATAAAATACAATAAATTTAAATAAATAAATATAATATAAATAAATAAATTGACTTGAAAGATGGCAAAATAAAAAATAAATTAACTATTGTAAAATAAAATAATATAAAATAAATCGAAACAAAACTAATTGAAAACATAATAAACTAATAGAAATAAACTATAATGAAATACTATGATCCCAATGATAATATAATAAATTAACAAATAAAATAAAGAAATTAACTATAATGAAATAAAATAAACCTAATGAAAATATAATTAAATAAAAAATAAAAATATAAAAAAACAAACTAAAATAAAATAGCATATAATAAAAATAAATAATATGAAAAAAAAAATAAAATAAAACAAAATTATATAAAATAGATATAGAAATATAAACGAAAATTATTATAAAATAAAATGAATTAATCTAAACCAAAATAAAATAAAATAGAAAAAACAAATTAATTAATATTAAATATATTATTTTATATAATTTTAATTTATTTAAGAAAATATAAAATAAAATAATAACAATAAAAATAAAAAAATTTAAAATTAAATTATACTAAGTAAATAACATAAAATGAAATATTGTAAAATATAATAAAACAAAAAACAAAAAAAAAATTATGCAAAATAAAATATTACACAAAAAATAAAATAAAACGAAATGAAAAAAATTAAAATAATAATTAAAATCAAATGAAACAAAAATTTAACTAAAATAAAATTTGAATAATTTAAAATACAATATAATAAAGTAACATAAAATAAAATTAAGTAAAGTAAACTAAAATACAAAAAATAAAATGAAAAAAAAAATAAAACAAAATTATATTTAAATCAAAAATAAAACAAAATAAAATGAAATCAAGTAAACTAAAATAACATACAACAAACCAAAACCAAACCAAACAAAACATAATAAAATAAAATAGCGTAATACAAACCAAACCAAAATAGAATGAAATTAAATTAAATAATAAATACTAAAATGAAATTATTAAAAAAGATAAAATGAAAAAATAAATAAAATTAATTTAAATTTAATCATATTAAATTAAAATAAACTAAAATTGAATTAAATGAAATAAATTAAAATAAAATGAAAAAAACATTAAAGAAATACAATCAAATTAAAATTAAAATAAACTATAATACCAGAAAATGAAATTAAATAAAATTGAAATTATAATTAAAATATATTAGTTTAACCAAAAAAAAAAATTCAAAAATTTTTAAATAAAATATAATAATTGGCGCTTTGTAACCGCTGAAGAGATTTTTTAGGCCGAGCTCCTCCACCAATTTGTGGTTTTGCGTCTTGATGTTCTCCAAACAAATGGAGGGACGTGCAGCTTAAACGAAGCCGCCTCCGAACGGCTGATGGTTTCTAACGAGGAGCCTTTATTTCATGGTCGAAATACACTCGGAGGGGTGGACATTCCCTGCCGAATGGCGACCACAATTGGAAAATTCAACTGTATTTTTATTTAAATTGATTTTCAATAACTTTTGGATGTTGGTGGCACCGGGATAAATAACTATACTTATAAACATAAAAAAAATTAAAATTTAATTAAAAAATCGTAAAAAAGATAACTAAACTAACTATAGTTTAGAATAATTGAAACATAATAAATTGAAACTAAATTTAAATAAAATTAAATAAAAATACATTAATTGAAATTAATTAAATTAAATAAAAGACTATAAAACAAAATGAAATAATATAAACTAATAAATTTAATTAAAGTTATTTAAGTTAAAATATAATCAAGCCAAATTAAATTAAATGAAAAAATAAAACAAAATAAAATAATGAGAACTAAAGTAAATAACAATAATAATAATACTAATCGTATATAATATAAAATAAATTGAATTATGAGAGATTAAAATAAAATAAAACAAAATACAAGATATAATATATAGAATGTGTAATTTGTGATGTTTGTTTCAGCTAAAAGTAAAAAAAAAACTAAATAAAACAGTTCACTGTTGAGAATTTCCAGAAAACAAAACATTGTGCTGTTGAAATATATGTAATCGAATTTGTGGCATTTGCTGCCCAAAACTACTTTCGGTTTGAAACCCTACCATAGAGAATATAATTATTGTACAATATATTGCGCATACACTTGTACATACAAATGTTGATAGTATTGCAGATATTAAGACAACAAAAAGCTATAGTTGTATGTAAAGAAAAAAATATAAAAACTACTACGTTTATCTCATTTTGTTAACTATTGTGTATTGTAAAATTTACATTGTAAAAGGATATTTGTGGTGAAAGGAATACAATAAATCAAAATGCTAAAAGAATAATAATAATAATAAATGTTTTTTTATTTTCTACTCAATAATAAAACGGTCTGTACCGTGAAGACTAAGGTGTGAGTTAGTTATATGGTAGGGCCTGTCTGGCAGAGTTATTTTAGCTTGAAACCTTCTAATTTCATTACATCTGTACTATTTTCAATTCAATTGTATTTTTCAATCTCTTGACTACAATCTGCCCTTATATGAATACACACCTGTTTATTGGTGCATAGGAATATTTATACGATTATTTAATACGATTTGTTTGGATGAACTCTAGCGCAACATTATTTACTTTATATTTATTTATCTCAAAAACACTTCGCTGGAAAAAACTTATTATTTGCACTTGTCTGGTGTTCAACACATTATCATGCAAGTGTCATTGAGTCTTGTGTTGTTTTTCAGATAATCAATGCACGAATTTTTGAAGAAAAGATATTTTGAAGAAATAAAGAATCAAAATAGATTTTTGAAAGAGATAGCCCTAATATTTACCAAGAATTATTTTTTTTTTATTACTTTCATTTTAAATAAATATTTTTGGTATTGATTAAAAATATAGGCAATACCAGTTTCTCATATGAAAGTAGGAAAATTAGCAAATATTTCATCAGTTAATGCGTTATTTTGTTAGTGATGGCATTTGCATTTGTGGTTTAATGCCAGATATTTTGAAATGTTTATGTGTTTTAATCTTGGTATTGAGTAAAAAGTAATTTAGATAAAATTATCATGGTGTAACAAATAAAACAAATAAACTTCCAGGAACATATCAAATGCATTTGAGTATTAAATATTAGTTTTCATGCTGCGTATCAACTTGGCTAAAATATTGGAAAAGCCGAGGAACTATTGTAGTTTGAGTTCTAATATTCGCACATCACCTTCTGGTACTTGTATACTGCGAACCAAAGATTCATGTTCTTATTCCTTACAAATTTTGCTCACAACTCGATATTCTCTTTCCCAATCTTCTGACGGAAGTATATTAAAATAGTCTGGAATTGTTGTAATTTCAGCGGCAAATGCATGGAGGGGAAGCGGCCTAGACGGTGGCCAAGACCGGATTGACGGCCAGGAAGGTTTTGCTTCGTGTTTGTTGGGGTTGACAAGGAATCATCTACTACGAGCTGATCCTCTATGGTCAAACGCTTAATTCGGCCCTTTATTGCCAACAAATGGATTGATTGAAGGCAGCACTCATCCAGAGGAGGCCATCATTGATCAACAGCGGCCGAATTGTGTTCCATCAGGACAACGCCAGGCCACACACGCCTTTGGTGACGCGCCAGAAGCTCCAGGAGCTCGGATGGAAATGCACCCAACTTATAATCCGAACTTGGCACCAAGTGTTTACCATCTTTTCCAGTCCATGGGGAATGCGCTTAATGGTTAGAAGTTGGCCTCAACAGAGGCCTGTGAAAATTGGCTCTTCGAGTTTTTTGCCCATAAGGACGCAGCCTTCTACGAGAGGGGTGTATAATGAAGTGGGCATCTCGTTGGGTACAAGTTTACGCACCAAACGGCGCATATTTGACTTAAATCGGACAAATGTACACAAAGTTTTGAAAAATCAAAAAAAAAAAAAACCGAACGAACTTTTTACTGGGACAATATTAATAACACTTCGTATATTTTGATCCTAGAAAAATTGCTAACTTATTCTCTGAAGTTCTAAAATTCAATATAACTTTGTTAAATTTATATAAGTAATTCGCTTAATATTATAATAACGGTATTTCTTTAGTTCTTTCTATTGTGCGAAATCGGTAAATATTTTTAACATTATTTATACATATATAATATTAATTATTATATAAAAAATTTAAAAATATACACATTAATTTCGCTGATTGATATATACATATACATATATATGTGTATATTTTTTTTTATAAAAATAGCACTCATTGTTATCACTGTTGTTTCACAGCTTCCACTTGGAGGGTAATGAAATGATTATGATCAGAGTCAATAAAATAAAGCCAAATTAAAAGCTTATCGTGGTTTTTATTTTTTTCGGAGAAAACAGTGCTGGAATAATATTTGAAGAACTTAATTTATAATTAATGACATCAACGAAGAGAACATATAATATAATTTATCAAAAAATTAAGAAAAAATTATGCATTTGAGTATTGCAAATATATTTTTACAGATAAAAGTTAGTTTCTATGCCTTCCCTGACTTCAAGACTAAAAAAACACAAAATGTGCATTACCAAAATTATACCGAAAGTATCTTTGGGTACCTTTTATTCCCATTCGTACCTACTCTACCGACCAACACTGACACCAAATAGAGCGCTCACAATAGCAAGTTAGTGAGAATCGAAAAAGGGAGCATGTGCTGTAGTATCACTGTCAATGAGCGAATTGTATGCTAAATAGCCGAGTTCACTGAAATACACAATTCAGTTGGCTCTTCGTAGTGTTTTCGGTTGGTTGTGTTACAGTGTAGTTGCTTTAAGTGCTGTGAGTGCGATAGGAAAATAAAATTTGCCGAAAATTATTAAAAGACCGGCATAAAAAATAGGAGTGTCTGTATGTAATACAAATATATATATAATATAAACACATAGAAATATATGTCTATACCAGTGCTGTACAAACTAGTAGACACAAATTTCAATGGCCAACGAGAAGACTTTAATATTTTTCAAATAATAATGCTAATTTTTTCCAAAAAACGACTTAAAATGTTAACCGAAGCGATTTCATCTTGAAAATAGTCAAGTTGTAATTGGTCGCATTTAAAAACCAAATTAACGAAAATAATTTTACGTTCCTTCCGGCGTTAGACACAAATCAATATATGGGGGAATTTGAGCTAGAAGACGATACGTACATTTGCATTTAATATATATAGATATTTTGATTTAACGCGTACGATTCACAATTTGAAGATTTCCAAAAGTTTCAGTTGCCATTCAAATTTCTCAAAAACCCATTCGTTTGTGACTCAAATAATATTCAAAAATTGTCAAATCTTTTCGGAGCAAAGAAAACTCATTTGGAATTCGGTTTTTCATTGATAAATGAAGAAAGTGGCTTGTCAAATGAAACGAGTGATGCATTGAGGATGCGTCTGTTATCTCAATGTAATTTCTGGGTACTCAAAGACATAGTACCGAAGTTTTTATGCTCGTTTGGTTCCACATACGTTTGTGCAGCATCACTCTCAAGTCCCTTGCGGCATAAAAATAAACACCGCAATACAATTCCAAATTTCGTTGCTATCGAAGCCAGACTTTGATAAATTGTAATTATAATTATTGAAAAAAAAAAAACGAATATCATATGCCGCATACTTCTGAAATAAACAATCATTGTTTCGATTAATTTTTTTAACTCATAGAAAATAGAAAAATGTCATACGCCGCATTCCACCTTGTTTTCACTGTTTTTCTGAGGTTTTGAAAAAAGTGGCCATTAAATAGATCTGTTATTTGGACAGCACTGGTGTATGCTATCTACGCACAGTGTCAAGATAAGAAAGCGCTTCAAATAAAATTATCTATTTATTCATTTAATTGTTAGTGAGCTAACTAATTACCTTAGAATCTTTTTTTTAGTTTTAACCAAATTTTCCGCTACATACGCACTTATGTAAATACATTTGTACAAGTATTTTAAGTGGATATCAAAAAGCAGGCACGCAAAATGTTTATCCATTAAAAAGTGAGAACTGAACTGATTAAAGAGAAGTGTCTGCCGTTTATTTACACATACATATGTATGTATGTATATATATATATATATATATATAAATAGCATCAAAAGTAATATGAAATACAATACAAAATCTATTGGTGAATGTGCGTATTGTCTGTGATATTTGGTCTATAAAAATACACAAAAGATGTGAATGATAAAAGTGGCAGTGCGACCGACGACGTCAGCAAAGAAACAATTGATTTTTACAAAAATGATGATATTTACATATGTATTGTAGTTACACATATTCTCGCAAACAGATTTCGCACAGAAAGAAATAAACAAAAAGTATTGTGAAATCAGTGTTATTGTTGTTGTTGTAACCGTAAAAATATTTCCCTAAAGTACTTTTTGGGGCATATTGCGGGAGTGACAGTCCTTGGCGGGATAAAAATCCGGATCGTTCCGGTATAAAGACCCGACTGTCGCTGGAACTATTGGGTTTTTGTCGCCTCTTACGACAGGCATGCCTTACCGCGGATAAATTCTTGAACCCCTAACCCGCAGGGGTATTGTGACAATTCATTCAGTTGGCTGCATGACTTTAGCTTTTTTATTCTTTTTTTTTACTTTTTTTATTTTTTTTTAATTTTTTTTTAATTTTTTTTTAATTTTTTTTTTAATTTTTTTTTATATATAATTATTTCACCAATTTAAAAATGACGAAACACAAGTTATGATATACAAGATAATTATCACCAAATTTCGTTTTTTTTTTTTTTTGGTGAAATAATTCAACTTTTTCATGAGTAATTTCAATGGATTTTGACAAATTTTTTTGTTGCCCATGAATTCGCAGGGGCCGGTGAAGGTGCTAAATAAAAACAAATTCTGTTAAAGCATTGCTACACTTGGATCACGTGTAGTTGTTCTGTATAAATTACAAAATATATACAAATGTAAATAGGGTTATACATTTCGTGGTTTCGAAAGTACTGTGCTGTATTTTGACATTTGTCAAACTTAACTGTCAAACTTTTTTAGTTAAAAGTTAAACATTAATGAAAATAAATAGCCTCACAACTGCTCAAAACGTTAAAAGGAGACTTCGGTACATATAATCATCCAACTATTCAAGGCAATAAAAAGTAAAGTTTGAAAAAAATTTGATGAGACTTAAGCGGTCGCAAATTTTGTTCGGTCTGTGTATCATCCGCTGGCTAGTTCCAAAACCCCCCGAATGTGTCTCTTACTTGCCCGTCTCAAGAGCTGGGACTTCTAACATCTCTAATATTGCACCTACACGAGACTTGGGCTTTATTGTGAGAGAATTTTCCGGCCGCGTAATCTCTAGTCATGGCGAAGTCGTTTGGGTACCGCGATCGTGCGATTTGCCACTGTTCCACCTTTTTTTATGGAGATACGTCAAATACCGTATTTATGTAAATAAACCTTTAACTCTGGAGCGCTTGGAAACCGAGATAAGTCATGTTAACGAAATGTCAACGAAAATTACAAAAACGCATTGAAGTTTTCAAAAATTCGTCAAAAGGTTATTTTACTGATGTAGTGTTTCACGTATAAAAATGAATTTCTTGCAAAAAAAAATATATTTTTTTAAATGAATTTTATTTATTTTTATTTTCGAAAACTCACAATGGATAACCCTGTATTTGTTTGTGTGTTATCGTTTCAAATGTGTATGTAAGCATTGTTGTGTCTATCGCGTGTGGCGTTAAAAGGCATTGTGGGATCACAACAAACACGTGCATTCACTGGTAAACACAAATACATACGTACATACGTACATACGTACATACATATATGTATATGTGTATACATTTTACAATACAAATGTGCCATTTTCGGTGGAATGCTACATATAAACGGTGCAAATGAGCTCTGCAAGTGAGAATGTGATCCAATTAGTTGTTTTGTGGTGTAATTGTGATTTACGCTTTTTATGCGACAAATTCGCTTTAAACTGAAGTCCTTTGGACAAAATAATGATAAAGACACATGAGAAAATAAACAACTCTATCCTTTAGATTATGAGTGAGAACGGTTTTTGTTTGGGAGATAAAATTTTTGACTTACATGAAATGATCTTTTCGCCTGCCCGTAAAGGATTAAGGGATAAAGCAGCTGTAGGATTTTGGAAAACGCAATTTTTTTTACTCACAGTGTGCCTTTGGGTCCTAGAAATGATATGCAATTGGTATTAAAGAGAGAAAAATATTTCAAATAGCTGAACTTTTTATTTTCATGCAGCCCCTTAGAGACTGCGCTGAGTGCAATGAGAACTTTAAACGTGTTTTTCTCAAAATCACCTTTTTACCAACTGGGAGGACAGTTTATGCGGACCCTGCGGCATCGATTTATCTGAAATTTTAATGATAGCTTCACAAATAGATTTTTTGGAAATAATCAGCCGTTTTTCGATTAAACGTAAATTTTTGTAATGATGTATTTTTCAGATAAAAATCACTCTTTTTTAAAAAAAAGTGTGCCGCTTTTACAAAAATTAGTTAAAAATATAATCCGTGCATTCTTCCAAAGACCATTGTTTGTAGATCATAAAACTTTTAGCTGTTGGCTTCTACGTCTCATCCTTTAGAAGAGATCCTCCCATGGACGCCTTTCAAAAAAACAAGGATTAAATAATGGACTTTATCACCGCCATTTTGTAACAAAATAATGATTCGAAGCATTTTTTATACTTCAATATATTATCAATGAAATGGTTAAATAGAAATGCTATTGCTTTTTCCCTATTCCTACTATAAATTTTTAAAAAGTAGTATATTTCTCAGTCTCTAGTATGGCTTTACCTCTTAAACTCAACACGAATTATTACGGTTTTGGCGCAGGAGCACCACTATATGCTCGTCAATAGCGCCCTTATATAAGTTTTAAGAACTCAATTATTGCTTCCTGCCCGTTTTATACTTATGCATACATACATACGTATACATATCTATAGACAGCCGAAGGGATTCCTAATCGACTCGCACTGCTTCTCTCTGAGGGCACTTATCTGCAATTCGATATAAGAGAACATCGTAACAGCATCGCAAGCTCCCTACCTCCAGCTGCAAACGAAGCAATTGGTTTTCGGAATGTTCGTACCAGCGTACGATCAGGATTACTGTGCCGCAATGTGCTTCCTAACGCTCGCGAAACGTTGTGAACGACCACTATAAGAGGTGGGAAAGATAGCAAGAATCACAGTGGGAATCAGGGCGCATAAGCGGAAAGAAAAGAAAGAGATGGAAATGCGTGAAAGAGAGAAGCTGACTCATCGAACGACTGGTGCCCAGAGTATACTAAATTTGTGGAGGGAACACTTATACGGCCAGCTCAATGGCAATGAAAATGGAGCAGATGTTTCGTCGTCCGACTATAAAGAAGTTCGAATCGAAGCAATCGCGGTAACCTATGGTTTACCGGCAGAGCTATTCAAATACGACGGAGAAGAACTGATAAGGTACATGCATCCCCTTCTTTTCAAAATATGATCGGATGAAACTATGCCGATTGATTGGACTTTATAAGTGTGGCTTAGGAGCTGTCTTTACGCCGCTATATCTGAATTTGGTATCCCCGCAAAACTTATACGGCTGCGTAAACTGACCATAAGCAGCACTAAAAGCTGAGTAGAGATTGGAAAGAACCTCTCCGAGCCGTTCAATACCAAACGAGGTTTCAGACAGGGTGATTCCTTATTGTTTGATTTCTTTAATTTATCGCTGGAGAAAATAATATGAACTGCGGAGCTGAATAGAGAAGGTAGTTTTATTTATAAGAGTGTACAACTACTGACGTATGCCTAGGACATTGACAACTGCGCAGTGAGTTCTGCTTTTTCCATACTGGATAGGGATATA